GATATCATCCAAAGATAAGCTAGGCAGAAGAATAGAAGACTGGAATTCGTTTTCTTTATTTTATATATTTTTATTTTTATCTGTTACATTTGCTTCATTTTTGAAGAGAATTATTTTCATTCACTTTTGTACCTAAGTTTTTCAACAGAAATATTTTTTCATTCACTTCTTTTATCCAATATGATTTATTACAGAATTCTACATACATTGATGGAACATTTTTTTACACCAATAATTTCGATGTTTACTATGATCAGTTTTTTGGCCCCCCCCCTTAAACATCGTCTGGATCCGCCCCTGTGTATACCTGATAAATATAAACGAGTTCACGTCGCTAGTATATAGTATGTCTATTAAGCAAATGAGGATCATCTCGATGTGACAGCCGATTATTTTGTAGGTCATGCGTTTCGGTCGTTCACTCTGTTGTCATCAAAACAGAACAAAAGACGAATTACCGGTGGTCTCTTTGACACGTTTAAGTAAGCATACCCAGTTATCGCATATATTCATACAGTGGCGTACTCATAGAAAAGAAAATTGTATTTTTCGAATTTTGATATGTATTGCAATTTTACTCTTCTCAAAACTGAAGGAAGTTTTGAGACGTCTTATTTTACGTAACTAAAAAAAAAAAATTTGTTCTAAAATTTGTTCTAAAATTTGTTCTATCCGTCATTCGGTTGCCCCCTTACGAGCAACCCTCAAAAGTCTTCGAAAGTCTTGTGCGAGCAAGGAATGACGGGGGCCTTACCTTTTAACGTGTGATCCCAAACACTTTCTTGGGCCATCAGAAAAATTTCTGCAGTCGACGGGGATCGAACCCACGACCGGCAAGCGAATGCGAATTAGAATATAGACACTCTGTCCGCACGGCTACCTGGCCACCCAACTAGTAGTACATACGTCTCAAGGAAAAACAGACAACTTCTTCTTTTTTAAATACTTCACTCTGTATTGCAAAATTTTGTGGATCTGTTTTGATATTTGGAAATAACAGACCTCTAAGTTTAACATAATTGGAGTCAAATTAGGTGAACTATTGCTAGATTTGTTCGTTTGACTTGATAACGTGTCAGTTATTTTAGAATTTTCCGAGGACTCATTTTATACTTCACTATTTATTCATAAGCTGCGGTAAAGTAGGCTGTGCAAAAAAATTTGAAGTCTGACAGTTCATAATCACCAGTGTGATATTATTGGTGACATTAAGGTTATTGTGTTAAGGCATAATTATGAACACTTTCAAATGTAACAACCTAATATACAAGAACCAACAATAATTATCTTAACGTTACCAATAATATCACACTAGTGATTATCAACTGTCAGAATATCAGAAATTTTTGCACAGCCTACTTTACCGCAGCTCATGAATTAATAGTGAAGAATAAAATGAGCCCTCAAAAAATTATAAAACCACAGACAAGTTATTCTGTCAAACGAACAAATCTATCGATAGTTCACCTTATTTGACTATAATGTTGTTGAACTGTGAAGACTGTTATTTTTTTGTTAAATAATTGGATTTTGAATTACGAGTTCAATAAAAATGTCTGAGTATTTCAGAAAATAACAATAAAACATCTGTCAAATCGGATGCTCGCTCGTAAAAATTTACTCACTTAATTCACTTTTCCCTGCTCTTTTTAGATATCGAAACAGATCAACAAAAAAAGTTTTCTTTTTTTCCTCAGGACGGACCTGATTTCTGATCGCGATTTTATTTTTGTTTTGATGGGTATACATATAAGTGAAATATTTCTACCATGTTTACATACATACAATGAAAAAAGTGGTTCAACAGTTATGACCAGTTGAAGATTTTGCCCTCTATCTACAGGTATCGTATCGTATGTACATTTAAATCTAAAGCACCCTGTACTACTGAAGTGCTGGGCAATGGCATTGCTAAAATCGCATTCAGCATTCTGTGCATGAATAGGTGTTGAATTGAGACCGGGCTAGTGTATTGTCATAATTTTTGTTTTCGAGCTCACTCTGTAGCCTGTCATGTATTTGATCCTCTTCACTGGAAGTAGTGAAAGTATTGCTGCCTTTTTCATAGAGCGTTCATGCTTTCAGAATTGAAAATATTTATACAGGGTGTTTCCTAACTACGGTTCCTAACTGCAGGGGGTGATTTGTTAGGCCTTTTTCAGAAGAAAAGTTTCTATGAACATATTATGTCTGGAATTGCTTCGTTTCTGAGATACAGGGCGTTGAAATTAAAGGAAAAAAAAACGGTAATTATAAAATATGATGAATGTCCTGAAACCGATTTGGTTTAAATTTGGTACTTTCATTTGTCAAATTCTCTAAAATTCAGCATATCAAGTGTCAATTATATTTTTGGCGGAAATAATGAAAAACTCATTTCTCCAATGCAGGTGTTCATGATATGCAATACAGTGGCTTTAATTTTTTTTCTCAGGAACGAAGCTGGATATGAAGAAAATACAAGAGACCAAAAAGTTGTATTTTGAGTTGCTTAATCTGAAAAAAATAAAAATTTACCAAAAAAAGTCAGTGGCGTACTTTTTTTCACGATATTGTTGGCTGTGGTGCCCACTGAGACGCTACTAGCCCCAATAATTTCTATCTAAATAGGGCTGAATAAGCGCCTTATTAGTTCAAATAAAAGTACAAAATTTCAACCGAATCGCTTCCAGGATCTTCATGATATTTTGTAATTACCATTAATTTTTTTCTTCAATTTCATCGCCCTGTATCTCAGAAACGAAGCAACTCCGGACATATGTTCATAGGAACTTTTCTTCCTGAAATGACCTAACGAATCACCACCTGCAGTCAGGAACCGTAGTTAGGAAACACCCTGTATATCGGGTGGTCACAAAAAAACCGGAAGTTTTTATTTTCCTCGTGATTTCATCGTTTCTCAACCGAATTCGAATTTCTTGGCGTCGTTTCATAGCTGAAGGGCAATAGTATACAGTGGGATATTTGAAAATTCCATAATGAACCAAAACAAAACGGCGGATTCTACCAAAGTATTGTCATTTATAAAAACCGCTGGAGGAAAAGAAAATCAGATTTTTTCCAACCTGTACCGATGTCATCTTAGGCTATTCATTTCTGAAGTAAATGAGCAATCGAACATCTGAATCGAACAATTAGTCCAGGAGAAGCACGTTCTTTTTGGCAAAGTGTTATGGAGTGAATGTGCCAATCCCGTGATAAGAATTACTTTTAGTTCGCTTCTGGCTTCAGGCATACCACTTTGCCAAAAAGAACGTGTTTCTCCTGGACTAATTGTTCGATTCAGATGTTCGAGTGCTCATTCTTTTCAGAAATCAATGATCTAAAATTGTATCGGTCCTGATTGGAAGAATAAACATTTTTTTATTCGCCAGAGATTTTTGAAAATCACAAAAATTCTGGATTCTCCACCATTTTGTTTCTTTCAATTATTAGATTTTCAAATGTTCCATTGTATACTGCAGTTCTTTATCTTTGAAATAACTAAGAAATCCAAATTCGATTGAATTTTCATGAAGCCTGAAGCAAAATAATAATAATAGTTTATACGAGATTAGCACATTCACTCCATAACAAATTGCAAAGAAATGAGTGTATCTACTGGACTATTCGTTCGATTTCGATGTTCGAGTTCTCATTCTCTTCAGAAATGAATAGCCTGAGATGACATCGGTACAGGTTGGAAAAAATCTGATTTTCTTTTTCTCCAGCGGTTTTTGTAAATGACAATACTTTGGTAGAATCCGCCAATCCGCCATTTTGTTTTTGTTCATTATGGAATTTTCAAATATCCCACTGTATACTATAGCCCTTTAGCTATGAAACGACGCCAAGAAATTTGAATTCGGTTGAGAAATGATGAAAACACGAGGAAAATAAAAACTTCCGGTTTTTTTGTGACCACCCGATAGGTACCATCGGAGGATCCATCTATCTGGAAACATAACCTTCAAGATTACATTCCTCAGTTGTTATTTCCACTGCTGAAAGAGATCTTTATACGCAGAAATTTACTGTGTTATGTGTCCACGAAATTTGGGAAAGGTGTTTTCCATTTTTTATATTATTTCATAACCCAGCAGATACATGTGGAGAAACAATTAAATCTGTCCATCATGAAGAGCACTTTCCGAGTAAATTGTCCTCCAAATATTTTATTTTTGTCTCTGCGCTTATTCGTTGTATTTTTTTTATCTTTTGGAGCGCACCCAATTAAATTCCTATGAGAATAACCAGCTCGAATTAATTACAATATTATCACAATAGATACAATATTTCGAAAGATCTATACCCTGATAAATAACTCAGGGTACTCCTCTGGAATGATACATGTACGAATTATGTGAAAGTTACTAAAATGGGGATTTCGAGCACGATTCTTTTTATTTACGTTGGCTGAACACTAATAGAATAAATCGACATTTGATTTAATGTCGATATTAAACGATAGAGGTTTTATTGCTTGTTTCATGACACATTATTAATTTCTATTTTATGAACGTGAAATAACTGCTAGATGATATGTTTTGTAGTGTTTTATTGAATAGCAATGAAAATTGAAACTGTCACAAACTGTGACGTATTACTAAGTCTAAGTACAACATAGTATATATAAACATTATAACGCAAAAATATCTGGTTTCAAGCTCGGTTTCTAGATTAGAATTGCAAATATAGATGATGGCTTGCAGCCGTTTATATTTTGTTGTTGACTGATATTTTATGATAATGAAATTCATCATTGACACGTACCTATACTTAAGTGATCGGATTACATAATGGTGCAGTCAAGCAAATAGTGCTAAATTCATTCTATATGCACGACTTAGTCGCAAGGTATGATTGATGAATCTATCTATACACCTTGCCACTAGATGGCTATGAAGGCTAGATCGTCCTTATGCCCCCTCTGGGTTTCGAATTTGTTATTCATTTATGAGTGAAATGTTGAAATAAAATGCATGAATTACTTAATTTGATAGATATTTTGTTTGTTTCAGATGGAAAATGCCAACTCTTCTGTGGTAAAACCTCTCGAGGAGTTTCGCAAGAAGTACATAGGTGGCGCTAAAATGGAAAAGAAGAAATTCGAAAAGCAAACCGCCAAATTTTGCCAAAACCAAGAACGCTATCTCAATTTAACTACGAAGAAGACCAATTCCCTGCAAGAGGTAAGAACAATATCATAATAATATTAAATAATTTAGTATCTAGAATTTGTGAATATACCTTCTCTCATTAGGATTGATTGGGAAGACACTATCTGTTCGTTATTCCTATGAAACATTGATACTAACCATTTTTCTGTAAGAGGGGAAATTCTAAATCAAAGGCTAGAGATACGAAACCGTTTAATTTGTTCAACATAAAGAAAGCGGCGAATGTGAAGAAATGCCAAACTTTTACAGAGAATGTAATTTTATCTTATTCGTCACAAAAATCGGAAATTATTGAATCCTCTAGTAGGTACCGTTTCAGTTAAGATTGAAGAGTTCTTGACAAAACATCGGTCATCTAATCTAACCCTCAACCCTCGGCTTCAGACATTTTGATATATGTAGAGTCCGACCAGGTGCATATGCGTTGCATCTTGCATCACGTAGTGTCCCAAAGTTAGCGGATTCAACCAAGCAATTGAAACAAATTGAATCCATTTGATTCGCTTTGGTGGTTGCCGAAGAACAGTCTAACAGAATTTGACGGACCTATATGCCGATAGAAAAACATCAGTTATGAACTTATAAAGTGAGAATAAGATGGGTTGAACTCTGGTGGGATCATTACATTCCACTTGGCCATAAATGATCAGAAATATTCTTATTCTTTCAGTTTCATTATTCAAATGATTAGATACTGATCTGTGTAGCCAGATTGGTCACAGAAATACATCAACATTTCTGCCAATAGTGCAAGCATGTTTTTTCAGTGTAGGTCGAATGTTCTTTCGCTGGGATATCCGGTCTTGGGCTGTGATTCCCCGATATTATTCAGTCGGTTCGTTCATTCTAGGTAATGAGTTGTACGTTCGATAACAAGTAAGAGATTTAATTTTGTAATGTTCAAAATTATTGTAGTTACCAATAATCTTGAATAAAAATACGCTTTGAAAAAACAATTAAACCCCCCCCAAGGTACACTTCTGAGTACGCCACTGCTTTGACTCAACATACGTAAATTAATTTTGTTTCAAGTAGGTAATATTGTTTTCTCTCAGTTGAAAATATACCTATCTATCCATTTTATCCTCATAACTATAGCTGATCACGTATATTTTCCGTTCACCGTAAAACGAACCACGATCCCAACAACAAAAACATCCACGATAATTATTTCGTAATTGACGTGGAATAATTGGTCGCGCGAATTCAGTTAAACTTGCTGTCGTGCACAATCCTATTCATTCGTCTATAATCCTAATGACGTCTACATCCGTTACCGTCTAGATTCTAGTTTACTGCATGTCCTTTCCAAGGACATAACAGATTGTCACGTTCTAGACTGCGGTCACACTAAATGTCGATACAGAGCCTACAGAGGGTCACCGTCATCCCAAAATTAGCTCTTGAATTGACGTTTCTATTACTGACAAACACATAGGTATGTTGCTAGGCAACACATTCAGTTCCTAGGAGCTGAAGTTGAACTTTCGCTCCTAGGAACTAGAAAGGATGTAATAGAGGTTATTTGGGTTGGGACGCATACCTGATTTGTTTCCGATTTCGGCAGATTTGGCATTTCATACCCATGCTAGAGATATAAATACACCTTATTATAGTTATATAGTTAAGTATTTTTGTTTCGATCAGGGAAGCCTTCAAGATTCACATACTTGCTTCATCTGTATTTCATTCGTTATTCTCGGGATGGATAACTTGTTTTTGAATAATCACGGCCAGCGATAGTTTTTTGTCTCAAACTACGATATTGTTTACCTTCATTTGATTATCAATCCAAACACAGTGGAGTATGGAGAGAAATTAATAATCGATATTATCATTGTTGATATGCTCACTAACCTAACATTTTCCACGTCTTGTTCCTATACTTGGCACTGGCGCGGTATTTGCCATTAGAGCACCTGGTCCATACTAAAAAATGTCACTCTGTGGTTGTATTTTTATACACTACAATGCGAACATCCTTGAAATTTGAATAAACCTGCTGTTAATGCAGGTAGAATATTCTCACCACACGGATTTTGCATTGATTTTGATTTGTTGCATTGCATACATATATGGCATGGCATTGGTGGTTTCTTCATGCACATATTTATTTGAGTTAATTGTTTCGGTTGCAGAAAAAATAGTATATATCATTCGGATCAAAAGTGACATTGTTTGACTCGCAAATTTTGCTTTCGCTCGGCTGCGCTAAACCTCGCAAATGCAAAATTCGCTTGTCAAAAAAAGTGTCGCTTTTGATCCTAATAACACAATCTACTATTAGTTCAAAAGCTGCTGACAAAATATTGCAAGAGTTTCGTATTGGCTCTTATTCAAATATTATGATGTAGTATCAACCTAGGTACTAAACATGAAAACATAACTAAATACCGAGCTAAATAGATTATTACTTCGTGATGTAATTTTTTTTTATCTCTTGGAGCGCACGAAAGAAAATTCCTATAATGTTCGTGGAACATCGTGTGTACCTAGGGAGGATAGGGAGAGGAGGTAGCTCGGGTGACGGGAGGTAGCCGTTGGAATATTTTTTCAAACTATTGGAGGTTATAAGTTCTTGAGAATACTTTCTTTGGCGAAGAATTCCAAAGCTTCGCCGTTCTATAGACGAACAAGTTTTCGTAGAGTGTTGTTTGGCATATTTCAAAGACGAGGAAAGGATGTGCTGACTGGGACTGTCGAGTTGGTCTGACTGGTATTGCTAGTGATGGAATTATAGCAGAGATATGCTTGATATTACAGATACGTATAGCGGCAATGACCCTTTGTGGCTCGTATAAATATTACAATGTAATAATTAAAGAAAAATATTTCATGTGGGTATCATCAACAATGTTACCTACTTTATAAAGTATATTTGAAGTTTTTCAAATTACCTGTGCACAACATTCTTATTAATTACTAACAGTTTTTAGGTAATGTCAATTTTTTGTGGAATTATTGAGAGAATCAACTGAATGTTCTTTAGAAAGGACAGAGCACTTGATTTGTTCCAAAATATCACTGTGTTAATAAATTGAGCTTGCCATGCTCCTGAAGAATAATAAGGTTAATTCAATAACAATGATATTTTGAGGCAGATTAATTGATATCTTTCAATGTATCATTTAGCTTCATAAATCCAGAAATCAGTGAAAAAATCTAAAAACTTCAAGTAAGTAATCAAAATAGGTCAACCACTACAAAAAACCCAGTTATTTATTGATGAAACGTGGATATTATTTTGAACATCAGATTTTCTGGAACAAAACAGTTGAATAATATGAAATCACACCAGGTCCACAAAAAAAAACAGATACTTGGATGCATTATATCACACTGAAAATCAGGCATCTATCACTGGTAGGAAAATAAACGCTTGATAATATGGAAGAACCTATGTTATCAACAGTTATTACACAAGTGGTGGTAATTTTTTGGTAATTTTAACTAGATGCACGAAACGAAACGAAAAGTTTACATTTTTGTTCGAACAAAACAGCCTACCAACAACGCAGTCTATGGGCCCCTTTTTAAACGAAGATCCAAACGTGAAAAATTATCGCTGTAATCTGCTACTACCAAATCATCAGTATGATACCTGATGGTACCAAATGATTGGCTAGAATCAAGCATTGATATTTGTTGAAACAACGAACACGTCACATTTTGACATGTGAAAAAAATAATCATTCTAATTTTGGTTACAACTTTGAATAGGCCTTCTGTCAATCACAGTCCAAAATAAAATTGATTCGGCCATACCATACCCTTGAAAGCAGAACATTTTCTTCAATTCCACAGTGTGAACTTCAAAATGAATTTCTCGGTATCCGGCACTGAGATAGAGCAAAGGTCGAAGTTGAGAAGCAATTATAAATTAATATCAACTTAGTTATCTAGATCTGGATGTGACTTCAAAGGGAAATTTCTGTCGATGAACTGATTGAATTCTCGTAACTAGGGAAATTTGTCGCCTTTGATTTCAGTTCTAAATTTAGCACGGTTGCCTCTCAAAATAATCCAGTTAACCGAAGAGGGTAGAGGGTTCAGACCCCTGAAAGGACAGTATAGGACACTTTTAACTTCTCATAATGTTTAATTAAATAAAAATCTATAGATAATAAACAGTTTATGGTCAACAATTTGATGATTTCAACACCCTTCAACTCGAAAATTACAGATGCATTTTATGACATCTCAACTTCCATACATTAAAATGTAAGAACGTCACAAGCGATAAGATTTCAGGTCTTCTCCGGCTACCTATGACAACTGTGCTATGACGAAGTTCATGTTCTCAATGAGGGATTGGCTTTTTGCCTCCCTATCAAAATTACCCAATTTAAATACCTTTTTTCAATTTCCAATTAATTAATTATGTATTAAGATAAAGTTTTTTTTTTTGGGCCTTCACGATGTTTTAAAAATTTTCCACATACACTTTGATGTACCAATTTGACTGAAGATGGCAATTTGAATGGTTGAAAAAAGTCTCAAACCTACCCCAATAAACTTAGCAGAACCACTTCAATATTTCGGATTTGCAATAGTACTATAATTTGTTACTAATTTAGTACTAATTTATTATCATATTCGCAAATTTATTACTCTTCATTAAACAGAAGAAACCAACGGTTCTGCTAGCTTTATGTCAACCTAGCAGAACCATAGTTGAAAATTTGATATTTTGAAAATTATAAATATATATAATCACGAATTTTGTACCCATCATTTCAAGGAATAAAACGACGATTTGTCTATCTCGAACCAAAACTCAAATAAGATGTTTTTTGAAATTCTGTTGTATCATCGATAAGTTACTAATTTATTACTAATTTATTACTTCATTCGCAAATTTCTAACACTTCATTCAACTGGGAAAAACAACGGCTCTGCTAGCTTGCTGTCAACCTAGCAGAGCCATAACTAAACAATTATTATTTTGAAAACTTCAAATATACCATAATTTATTACTATTTTATTACTAATTTATAACTATAATCACGAAT